GAAGACTGAAACAGGACCCACACCTTTCACCTCTCAACAAAATCAACTCCATGCTGGTAACAGACTTGAACATTAGGTGTGAACTATTGAGATTCTAGAGAAAACGTTGGAAATACTCTTCTAGACATTGGCCTACGCAAAGAATTTATGAAGAAGACCCCAAGGCAATCACAGCACAACAAAAATAACAAATAGGACTGATCAAACACAAAGCCTCTGCACAGCCAAAGAAACTGTCAAGAGAGCAAACAGACGACCCAAGAATGGGAGGAAATTTTCGCAAGCTACACATCCAATAAAGGGCTGGTAATTAGAATTTATTTAGAACTCAGGAAAATCAGCAAGGAAAAATCAAACAACCCTATCAAAAATGCGCAAAGGACATGAACAGAAAATTTTCAAAAGAGAGACAGAAATAATGGCCAACAACCATATGAAAAATTTCAACATCTATCATCAAGGAAATGCAAATCAAAACTTGCAATGAGATATCACTTATCTCCCAGTAAGAATGGCCGTTTATCAAAAAGTCCCCAAATAATAAATGTTGGCGTGGATGCGGAGAGATAGAACACTCTACACTGCTGGTGGGACTGCAAACTGGTTCAGCCTCTGTGGAAAGCAATATAGAGGATACTTTAAGCAACAAGTAGATCTACTATTTGATCAGCAATTCCAAAGATCAATGACACTCTCACGAAATGGACACTCGCACTCAAATGTTTTAGCAGCACAGTTCACAATCACAAAGGTGTGGAAACAACCAGGTGCCATCATACATGAGTGGTATAATTTTGTGTGTATATGATACCATGGATACCAGTCGGCTTGTAAGAAAAAGGTGATATAGCACCTCTTGTATTTTCCTGATAGAGCTGGACCCATTCTACTAAGTGGAAGTATCTCAACAATGGAAAACAAGCACCACATGACCCACCAGCCAGTTGGTTATTTACGGAATCAACACCTAAGAGGACATATAGGAATAACATTTATCGGGTGTCGGGCAGGTGAAGGGGGGGCGAGGAGGAGATAGGTATATACAAACATAAAGAGTGAGATGTACAACGTTTGGGGGATGGTCACTCTTCAAGCTCTGATTCAAGTGGGGAGGGAGAGTACGGGCAACATACATAACCTTAACGTTTGTACCCCCATAATATGCTGAAATAAAAAGAAAAAGATTGAAGCTGTAAACTAAACCTGAATGTCAAGGGAATGCCTTACAGATTTTTATGCTAAATCAGCTAGGGCTAAAACTGTCAGGATATACAATTTGAATCAACTCATAAGACTGATCGGGGTTTCAACTTCCTTATGATGACCTATTTAATAAATAGTGCAATGTATCTGATTCGGAAAAACAAAACTGGTTTCTGAAAAAATGCAAATTCAATGTTAAGTGTGGACTCATGGAGGGCTTACTGAGTCTTTGAAGTTTTCATTATTAAAAGGCCTGTACTGCACAGCTCATTATGGAACAGACAAAATAATCCAAGTTATTTAAAAAATTGGTGGTGTGATATCCCAAAATTGATAAAATGGCTTATAACCAGTATTTGGTTGATCAAACTTATAATCCTGGGAAAACTATCAAAACTTCAGGTGGTGTATTTTTGCCACCTGATGGGCCATTTGAACATCGACAGATGGACTTCATTGAGTTGCTACCCTCAATGGGGTATCAGTATGTTCTTTCAATAGTTTGTATGATTTTTGGTTGGGAGAGGCTTTCCATGTAGGAAAGTTAATGCTGTGACAGTAGCTAACAAATTATTAGAAAATGCATTCCCATTATGGGGCTTGCCTAAAGAAATATCCAATAAGGGAACTCATTTTACTGGGCAGATCATTATATAAAGCAGTTTTTATGAACACAATGGCAATAGCATTGTCCCTATCATCCTCAGTTTTCTGGAAAAGTGGAAAGAAGAAACAGCATTTTTGAATTGGGGCCAGGCAGAATGGCTCACACCTGTAATCCTAACACTTTGGAAAGCTAAGGAAGGAGGATCGCCTGAGTCCAGGAATCTGAGACCAGCCCGGGCAACATAGAGAAACCCCATCTCTATAAAAAATTTAAAAAAATAGCCAGGTGTGGTGGTGCGCACCTGTAGCTGCAGCTCTACTTGGGAGGCTAAAGCAGGAGGACTGCTTGAGCCTAGGAGTTTGAGGTTGCGGTATGGTTGCACCACTGCACTCCAGCCTGGGTGACGGAGTGAGACTCTGTCTTAAAAAACAAAACAAAAAACCCCACAAAACCCAAAAAGAAACAAAAAATAATCCAAAGTTGGCAAAGTTAATTGAGTAAATTGGGTTGCTCTGGCTAAAGGTACTACCACTGGCTTTAATGTCAATCAGATCCACTCCCACTGTAAAACATAAATTGACCCCTTATGCTCCTAATGAAAGAACCTCACGTGTCTCTTGTGCTCCTAAACTCTGATATGCTTTAGGCCAATGTGTACTTTTACCAGATAAAGGAAGCTTTTCCTGATCCACCAACTAAGGATAATCCAACACTTCATGGTCCATAACCTGGAGATTTGGTCTTCCAGAAATATCAGCAGAGGAAGACTGCCCTCGACCCCGCTGTAAAGGACCATAGCAAGTTCTCCTCACCACATGGCAGTGAAGCTTCAGGTCCACACCTCACAACTCAAATGGGCCCTTCAAGACTCTAGGAATCATATACCTGTTGGAGACTTTACGATAAAGTTGACCAGGGAAATTTCTCCCCAGAAACAGATAGCAGCCTCTAGGAAAAGCTTTCTCAAGATCACAGATCAAGACTTCTCTGTCATCACAAAAGTCTTGTGCTTTTCTCCTTTTTTGTTTTTTTCTTATTTCTTGATGTCTTAATACTTTCTTTTTCCCTACAGGAAAGCCCATGGGCCCATAATCAGTGAATGGCTTTAGCTCTACTAGCTTATTCTCTAGAACAAAACCAGAGCAATTTTGGGTTTGTGGGCAAACACCTAAAATCAGAAAACAATTGTAGGTACCAGTGTCTCTCCATGTTCCCAGAGTCACTCTGAAACTCCAAAGAAGAGTGGAAAGCTATCCTTGATACTTTAACCATCACTGCTACTTGCTTCCCTGCACTTGCTAGAAACAACACTCAAACTTTTCCAGTGACTAACCTGATAATTATTAAATACATAACCTATCCAAGTGATGACTGCAAAAGGTATATATTGTGCTTCCAGACATCACACATTCAAAACCTGGGAATTACTTATGTGGGTACAAGTAATTGCTTGTATAATGTCACCCAATTAAATCCAGCAGGGTTCTTTTTTACTACATGTGGTTATACACCCTTACAGCATGCTATAAAGGGGTCACAAAACACTAAATTTCCCACTGAACCCTGTTTAGGAACTATGCAGATTATGGGCAAATGTAACTGACCCCTGTACAAACGCAACTAGGTGGCCGTCTTTTCCAATCCCCAAGGTTCTATATTGGGCCTGTGGAGAACTCCTTGTTCCATTCTGCTTCCTTGTGGGTTTGAATCTTGCTATTTGGCCTGGCTCACTCCTGCCTTCAAATAGCTTCCCCGGAAAATTCCCATAACAGCTCCTATGAGCAAAGGCCAAACAGTCAATAACCCAAATTAGCACCAATCTTGAAATAAATGAAGACAAACTATTTTCCACTGAAAAAAGACTCCAGTGGAGTTCCTGGGGGCTCACTTTTGGCAGTAGTACTGGTTGTATGGAATTTAAAGCTAACCCATAAATTGTGAAAAATCTTGGATTTTGTAGACAATCAGACCTTCCAGGGGTTCAGATGGGTAGAAGCCACTCCCTAAAAGATGGATAATAACATGTACAGTCAACAGAACACTTAATTTTAGATGTCCTCTTTGCTCAAGTTTGGGGCTTACATTTGATATTGACCAAAACTGAAAACTGTACCTCTCTCTCTCCTGATTTTTACTATACAAAGCTTATTTAAAAGGTGACCAATACTGTTATTTCCTTAGATACTGCCACCAAACACATTAAGGAAATTAATCTCTCAAGAGAAACGAATACATAATATATTTACACAAGATTCCAACAGTTGGTCAGCAAGCATACTAAGTGATGGATGGCAAGGTTGGGTTTTCTGAGGTTTTCTAACCTTTATATTTCTTCTAGTAGGTCTCTTGGCTAATAAAAATAGATAACTCTTTCAATCAGACTGTTTTACAGGAATTATAGTTCTTAATCATGATCACACCCTGAATAAGGATTATAACCAATTAGACTCAATATTGTTGAACTGCCCACATTGCTTGAACTTTGGCTTGTTTGATTTGGTTCAGTTGGTTTTACAAGAACACTGTCAGAAGTACACTTTGATCTTTTGATATTTCCTCTTGGTAGTCGTCATAACAGTCCCCCTGGCATGCTGCATCTTCTCTAGTCTTAAATGTTTTGTATGCAGCAATCCAAAACTACATCGGCAAGAATATAAAGAAATCCAGCACGAGCAAGAATGAGACCCCATCTCTACTAAAAATAGAAAGAAATTGGCTGGACAACTAAAAATATATAGAAAAAATTAGCCAGGCATGGTGGTGCATGCCTGTAGTCCCAGCCACTCGGGAGGCTGAGGTAGGAGGATCACTTGAGCCCAGGAGTTTGAGCTTGCTGTGACCTAGGCTGATGCCATGGCACTGTAGCCCCAGCAACAGAGCGAGAGTTTGTCTCCAAAAAAAAAAAAAGAATATAAAGAATTATTCAACTGGTTTGACTTGCAAATCCCATACTGAGACCAAAGATTTGTAAATTCCATACTTAGACCAAATAAGTCATTTGCAATGGTGAAGGAGAGTGGTGTCAATGCCCCAAATTTTGTTCAATCTCTCAAAACTGAGAGGCTGATCAAAAGGGGGGAATTGTTAAATTAAACTAAAATTTAGCCTGAGAAAGCCTCCATACTCACATACTTGAGTTCTTATGTACAAACTACAACCTAACTTAGCAGGAAACAAACTGAAAACTTACCTGAGGAGTATGCTTCGGCAATCAGAGCTGAGCCTCAGCCATTGCAGCGTACAGGTGGCCAACTGTTCAAACCATGTTCAAATAAGGCAAACACTGACCTGTAACCAATCCAGCTGTTTCTGCACCTCACTTCTGTTTTCTGTACATCACTTTTCTTTTTCTGTTCATAAATCTTATCCAACCATGTGGCAGCCCCAAGAGTCTCTCTGAAATTGTTCTGATTCTAGAGGCTGCCTGATTCATGAAGCATTTAATTTTTTCTTGCTCATTAAACTATGTTAAACATAATTTGTCTAAAGTTTTTATTTTAACAATACTCATAAACAATATTTTCACATGATTCTTGAATAGAAAGTGAAGTAATTAAAAGGCATGTGGGCAAAAAAAGAATATATATATAAGGCCCTTGAGTTGAAAAATATGCCCCCCCTCCCAGGTCCCTAACAACTCAAAGAGTCGCCAGAAAGGTCACTGAACTTTACCTATCAAAGGAAATCAATAAGACAAGAGTAAATCTTGCAACTGTTAATAAACAAAACCTTAATGGCTACTTCATGAAACTTCTAATTACTGGCAGCCTGTTTTCCCACCCTTGCCCTGGGAAGTATTTACAGAGGAATTCTTTAGCCAAAAATCCATCCATCCCTGAGCCTCTTTCCCAACACAGGTGAAAGGCATAAATTCATGTGGGACAGGGATATTATAAATAATATAGTTACCCTGTTAAAAAATAAATAAGAAAACACTGATTAAAATGTCAATTCAGCAAAGAAATTCTGCCTTCTGTATTCTACAGTAATTTAGGGCTCAAAATCTTTTGAATGCCTTTCTGGACCCTTCAAAAATATGTAGAGATTTCCATCTCTGGTTTTTAAGTCATGGCATGTCTTACTGGGAATTTGAAGAGCTTTTCCATGGCTCCTTCCTTCATCACATTGAGTTCTTAGCGGGTTGGGACCAAGCCATATTTCTTCTGGCCTTTAATAAGAAACAAAAAAAAAAAAAAAAGAAAGAAAAGAAAAAGAAAAAGAAAAAAGAAAGGAAAAAAGGGAGTCCACATGTCTTAGGACACAGTGAGTTCTTTGAAACCAAATGGAAGCAGAATTACTGCCCAATCTTCTAAGTGTGTCATGGATTGATGAGTCAACATATGAAAAGTACTTGGAAGTTCTTTGATGAAAGACCACAGATCTGCATAAAGTATTATCATTATAAAAATAACTCAATTTTTCTGTGGCTTTTTTTTAAAAAAGAATGTTCTTTCAGTTGCTGTTTGTAACCAATTTTTTTTCTTTAAAAAATAATGAAAATCTCCAAAAGTGGACTATTCTTGTAGAAAAATATTAAATCGTCGTACTTTTCTTAGCTTAAAAAAAAAAGGGCGAGTGGGTATTGAGCAATGTCTTTGAGGACACTCAAGGTGCTGCCTCCATGTAATATTGGAAAACTGTATAATATACTTAAAAAAAATTTTTACACTCATACTTAATGATCTATAACAAGAAAATTTCTAATCACATTTCTCTTTTTTTCCTATTCAATATTAAAGGGAACCCATATTCTCCATGAACACAAAATAAAACATAATTCTTTCTCATATACTTTACATGTTCCCTATCATTCTTTCTTTCTTTTTTAAGAGAGATGGTATTCTACATCTAGGGTGTCCACAAGGAGTGTCCTTAATCAATTACTAAGAATTTATTTGTCCTCCATTGAGAGTAGGACATATAATCTTACTTCACTGTGTCTACTGGCTGTAAATAGGCTGAATTCTGTCAGAAATATATCACCTACTGAAACTTTCATTTGGCTACAACTTTTTATAGCATCCTGATGAAACAAATAAGATATTATTGTATTAAAGAAGCTTCTTGAAAAATTATCTTAAGTATTTTCTCACCCTGTATTAAAGCAATGTATTAAATAAGTATAATAAATAGACCAAAGGAAACTAAATTTGTTCTTTATGATCCACAAATAACTGCTCAGATTCTTCAGGTGGATGATGTACTTCTCATGAACAAACCAGATGCTAAGGAAGAGAAAAGTGATTTGAAGAGTAGCAGTTCACCCTCTTCTTTGTTCCCTCCTTCCAGTTAGGCATAATCCCTAGCTCTTTCTCATAGTTACTGCCCAACCACCCACACGAATGTAATTTATTAGGTTATGCTCTGGCTCAAAAGATGTCAGGTGCTTTCCAAAGTGATAAGATAAAGACCACACCACACATTCATTAATTCCAAAGAATTCTGGAATCAGGACTTTAAAATTATATTCTTGGTCAAAGGTATAACGCTGTTTTTCATATTCTTTCAAATAAGAGAAATAAAAATAGAGGTTTTGGGAAAGCATTCAAGTATTTTAGCAGGGAGGTTTCTCCTAAGTTTCCTTTGGCCACCAAGCCAAAGCATTTTTGACAGATAATTGGACTAGAAATTGTGCCCCTGGAAACCATCAGCCACCATTCCCACCCATTAATTAGGTGATTCATTTTCATTTTTTTCCTTCCCAGTTTTTTTCCCCTGTATCCGTTTCCCACCCTTTCCTTGTAGCTTTTTCTTTAGAACATCTATACCTCTGCTATCCTCCTCAATCTATTTATTTGTGTTATAGCTCACCGCCGCTAGATTTATTTCCTTTTCATATTGCCTCTCCTGCCCTGTGGATTCCTCTTTGACAAATCCTCCTGCCTTGCTACTTAACACTCCTCCCAGTAAAGACCTTAACCATCTTGCAAGTCCAAAAGCTCTCTGGAGGCCTCCAATGACTGCTCCAACTTCCAATGATTTTTATTTCCCTTAAAGCTGTAAGGCACCAATGATTGGTACCACACAATTAGCACTTAATTACTATTTGTTAATTCTCCGTCTTTTCTTTCCAATTGAGTAGGCACCTACTCAAGGACAAGGAATATTTTATCTAGCTCTTAAAAAAATATACTATCCATATAAACTTAACAAATAGTTCATGGATTAAGGAGGATGGTGCACATATCTCATGGAAATAAGTTATAGTTTCATTTGGGGATAACAGGATTTGAGGTTATGAACTTTTGAGGTATGTGAAGTTTAGATATTTAAGCTCATTTACCTGAAACTATAGGAGACACATTGGTATAAAAAACTCAGTAGGAACACAGTACTTCTGCCTTAAAGAGGTTCTATTGCTTCATCAGTCAATAATTCAATATTATGTGGAAGTTAGGTTCCAAAATCCTAGGGGTTCATGAGCACGTGAACTCATGAGTCCTAGGTTTGAGCCCATTTTTGCCTTGAAATTATCTGAGTTGCCATATAAGGCAATCTTTCTTGGCCTCAGTTTCCACCAGGAGGGTTAGACAGATGACCTTTAAAAACCAACCAAACAAAACAAAAACAAGCTAAAGAATGACTAGTGCCCACATTTAGATTTTCACCAGGGTGTGTGATGGTTTGCTCTGCCATCACTCTATTTTAAACACATGCCTTGCTTGGAGGATCGCTTATTCATATAGCCAGATAAATGCCACTCCAATAAGACCTGGAGAAGAAAAGTGATATGGAAATTTTAGGCACTACTTTTACTGTCTCTAGAACAATTTACTTCCTATAGATATCTTACGGGACTATAAAAAACTAAGAGGAAAAATCTTCAATCTTTCATATTTCTTATTACTCTATGAGATACAAGATATGAAAAAAACTAACTGAACTTCAGTACCAGCAAATATCAGATAGGCAAAATATTTTTAAGCCTGGAATGATTAGGTTGAAACAGGGTTGCAGAAATTCAAGTGTGCTGGAATGCCAACCTGACACTCCAACGTCAGTAAAAACAGCACATGCCACAGCTACTTTCTTAAATCAAGCAATCTCTGTGGTAAAGGAAAAGGGATCAAAATATTAAGATGAGCATGCCATTGGCTTGAGGTATGTGTCAGATTTATTGTGGCCAAGAAGATTAAAATCAGCCACTATTAGTCAGGGTGTGTATGTGCCACATTCAGATATCAGGAAGTCTGAAAATTATGTGATCAAGCCAGAGAGGTTCCTACGGGGATGATAAATAAAGGGCATGTTTAAAACAGAAAGGCTGATAAAGTGATTACCTGTGCCTTGGTTAAGAGAGCCAAGTTAAAGATAGCAAGATGAATCAAGGTCATATGAAAAGACTATAATAAGAGTGAGCAGAATGGCTGCTGATGCAGGCTCAAAAATATGGTGTCAGGGTGGAGCATCAGAATGCCCTCCAGGCTACAGACGTTTTGGAGAAATGGGAGCCACGCCCATGTTATAGAAGAGTTGGGGAGGAAGGCTAAGAGGAATGGAAAGAAAGATGAACAGCCCACATACGCACTGAGAAAGGACACTTGTTAATTGCTGAGGACTCTGGCCTAGCCCAATCAGGGCAGAGGGAGGTGGGTGACAGTCCAACCACTCTTCCCATGCTTCCGAAGGCCAGCCAGCCACAAATAGACCTCAAGTAGGGCAATGATTCTTTGAGGCCAAAGGCAGGTCTATAAAACCTAAAAGATGGTGACTTTAGTTTTTCTGGCTCTGCTTTAGAAACCACATAACCACTAACATTCTACTTCTTTTCCCACTTGGCCAACCCACATCCAACTTATATATTTACTATGCACAAAAGTCGCAGCATGCATCTAGGCATCACCCTCTACCAGACATCAGTGGTGACTCTTGTCTCAGGCAAGGCTAGGTCACTGCAAAACTGTGGCATCAGCAAGGCTGGTTTACTGGAATGTGTACAGAGCCCTGCTTCTGTGCCTTCTCGGTTCAAGTTCTAGTCTTCTCATCACCAATTCTGGGACCTTGAGGGAAATATCTTAGTGTCTTTCAACTTTTCTCATTTATATAATGATAAAACCAATACCTATCATTTGGGGTGTTGTGAGGACTGAATGGGATTTAAATGTACACAAAGCACTTCTCATGTGCCAGGTATATGACTGGTAGCCTAGAAATGGAAGTGATTAATTCTCAATATTTGTCTCCTTTAAAAAAAATTCACATTTTGACTGTCCTTTCTCTTTTTAAAAATTCTTGGCTTCAAATTCTTCCCACACCCAAGGACCAAGTGCCCTATCATGTTGCCTCTTTTCTATTACGAAAGAAATCAACTTGATAATGTCACTGATACCAAAGGGTCATACTTAATATTAAAAATTCTAAAAAGTAATGTGTATAATGGGATTGGGCAATGATTACATAAAGGAATAATTTGTGGAGAGATATTCACAGCAGATAGGCTATTCTCAAATAACATTTTATAGATAAGTAATCATTTGTTCTGTTTCTGGGTAAGATGAGCCTTATCTGGCTTTGATTCTGTATCTCTATATGCTTCCTTTTATACCAATTCAATCTAGTTTGAAGATAAATGACGTAACCAGAAAAAATCATCCATCTCATTCTCCATGGCTGTGCCATCCCACAGCTAATGACTGCAAGAAAAACCAGTAAACTTTTCCAACCTATGTTTCACTGAGACAATGGGCTCAATGGAAACTCAATGAAACAGATAAGGGTCGATGACTCAAGACTCTAAACAAATTTTTGGTTAAATACAGCCTCAGAGGCTAATCACCAGACACACTCCACATGAGCTAGAAATAGGGCATTCACTAATAGTCAACAACTCTCTACTCAAAAACTTGGACTTTCAGATACACAAAATTAAACCAGACACAAAGGCTACTGCCACTGTATTATGGACAAACTTCAAAAATATATAGTAAGTGTTTTGAGAGTAAAAAATAAGCTGTAGGTCCCAAATGACACTGTTTGCATTAAGTTTTAAAACATGCCCAGCAATACTAAATACATGTTTTAAAATATACACATGAAGCAAAATAATAAAGATACGTACGAAAATAAAAAAAATGACAGTGGTTACTGGGGAGAGGAGCAGGGAAAAGAATGCGATCGGGGAAGGTAAGACACTGTGCTGACCTGCGTAGTCACAGAGAACCCCACGCGCCCCGTGCTTGGTCTAATGCTCTGCAGTTGTTGTCTTGAAACTAATTAATGTTATCTTTGAATTTATGCTTTGTAAGTGAAGTCCAACGGGGCAATGGAGCATGTGTGTGAGCAAAGGAGCTATACACATTATTAATATATGTGTCTGCCACCATTCCTTGCCACCCCATCCATACAGGGTAGTCGGAATGCCCATGAACAAAGAATCCTGGTGGACCCACCCACATGGGAGTTCGATGAGACTCCAAGTGAGTACGAGGTAGCTGTGTTACATCAAAGACTGAAGAAGCAGAAATGTTGACAGTCTCAAGAGGCTCTGCTTTCCATTTGAACCAGTACATTCTTCAAATGAAGAAAGAAGGCAACAGCAGGAAGACAGCAAAAGCATTTTAAGAAACACTAATGAACAAAGAAACCTTATCATATAATTTCTTATTCTTGTTACATCCCTGTATTAGGCAAACACTATCCTGAAAATGATGACATAAAAGGAAAGGGAACGATAAGGCAAACTCATAGCCCCTTTTCTTTTTAGTTTTTCTTTACTCACCAGTAAGCCAAAGGCAGAGAGTGTTGGTAGAATGTATGTTTATCCAGAAGTGAAATAAGAAATTGAGTTAGTTTTGTGCAGCCTTTTCACTGTTCTGGTAAGAAAAAAATACATATGTACATATGAGCTGAAAAATTGTGCACTATAATTTCAATGACTGCATATGAGTTCACTGTCCTTATATTTACACTTAAAATTAACTTTGCACAATACAAAGATGAGTGGTAAAATTCATGCTCATAATTTTAAAACTTTTTCTTTACTTAGAATAACATTAAATAGCAAATAAAACACACTACCTCAAATTGAGAAGGAGGGAGAGACTGAGGAAGAAAGGGAAAGAAAGCTTTATATTAATATCTTTCAGGGTACTTTTCGCTGCTTCAGAATAGAGACTGCACATTTTCACTTGGCATTGGGCCCCACCAATTACGTAGCCAGCCCGAGGAATACTAAACTACTAAGTTCTCCCCAAAAGGAAGTCTGGCTTCTAATAGTCTGAAATGACTGTTCAATTAATTGATGTTATTTGTATTTAGGTGCATCTCCTGGCCAATATCTTAGAAAGTGTAGTTTTGGATACATGCTTTGAAAAGAAGGAAAAATTGGTAAGTTCATGCCAATCTGTAGAGAGAGAAGAAACTAACTGAAATACAGATTTCCTTGCCTAATGTTATTTGGCAATGATAATCACATTTTCTTCTGAAGCCAGTTTCTCCCTGAATATCGATAAGCAGATATTTTTGTGAAAGTACCATGAACACCTTTGTAAGAATGTATATCTGCATGCGCTATACAGTCAACACAGGGGACCTTAGAATAGAGCCACAGTTCCCTCAGAAGCCCAGTTCCGGACTGTCAGCACCTCCCTAGAATGTCTCCTAAGTTCCCAGTTAGGAACTGGGGTCTCTGGTTGTACCTTTATTTATCATACTTAGTGCATTTCATAAACATTTCTCAAATGGCTCAAAAGCCTAATAGCCATGTGATGTGGAACTACAATTGATTGAAAGATCAATGTTTTAAAATGGATTTTTCTCCAAAGACAGAAAGCACAGTCCTTGTCATCAAGTGATTTGCAGGGTTTCTTACTCTAAGCTAACTGAAATTACACTACATCTGGAACATCTCAGTCTGGAAAGACGATGAGGTCGCCTGTGGCCTCCAAATTGCTTTACTGGGGAATGAGTGACACAGGCCTGCCTGTCCTGGCTGTTAGGATCATTAATTTTAATGGAGCATAGGAATTACTGATTTTGGTCAACGGTTTTATCCAGCACTGGGTCTGTTTACTTGCAGCTTTGGAATTTTCCTTAATAAATTATCAACAAATTCTTAAATTGGTGGCCATTGTCTGTAGGCAGACCTCCAGAGTGCTCCGTCAGAATGGAAAACAGCCAGGGGAGCATGGGTTGAGGAAACAGGAAGGATTTATATTATAAACATGTTACTGTCCAGCCTCTCATTTTCCTGGCTGGTCTGAAGTTATAGCTTTATTTGATACTTTGACATGGTTGAAATGAAAGGCAACTGGCTTAAATTACCCAGTTACAGGGAAGTAACTGCACCAGTATATAAAAAGCCAGGTTCATTCACCAAGAAATGTTCATTCCTTGATGTTCCAAGTAAGAACAGATCCTATCAGGGCTGGGAGGACTTTCTGGAGGATGGTAAGGGGTGCTGACCACAGTCTCACTCTTAACTTCAGGCCAAGGGAAGCATTATTTGGAAGAGGAGCATTCGGCCATTCTGGCTAAAAGGCCAGGTGTTTCTCAGGCAGGAAAAGAGTCTGACAGAATAAGAAATCAGACATTAACACAAATCTGTTTTTTAAAGCATAAGGTGAATTTTATCACTTTTAATGCAGAATCAAAGAATTTGGGCTATAGAAAGTAGGGGAAATGCTTCAGATACAGTATTTTTCTCTGCAAATCTCGTGGAACAGGCAGACTTCCATGTGGACTGCTGAGGCTGACACTGAAGTGACCTCTGAAAGCAAACACCCCAGTGAAACTGTTATGTAAACTGAAATGGCCAGACATTCCAGGCCACCACGACATAGAGAAGGCTGTGCTAAGGACAGCCTGGCACCTGGAAGTAGCAAGTACTTCTGAACAGAAAGGGGATGGATGCAAATCCTCTCTGATTTTCCATAAAGGGTACGATAAAATTTTGTAAGTAATGGACATTTAAAATAATTCAGAATTTTAGAGAAAGGCTTTATAAGCTTGGTAGGGAGTAAAAGGAAGACATGGCTGTTTCAAATCTAAATGGTAGGAACTAAATTTAATCAAAATTGCAAGCACCAGACTGAAAAGTGTATAATACAATATGGACCAATGTGTCATTAGCTCATCTTCACTAAATGAGATTAGCCTCTAACAGCATCATAATCAGATCTTGGAATTTTGCTGGTTTAGATCTATATCCAAAGAACATACAGCCAAAAATAAGTTCGATGCATTTCACACCAACATTTTGACTTTTTTAAGTAAAACTGCTAATAAAAAATCCTCACATTTTATAAAATGATTATTAGTCATCAAACTCTTAAAACTCCTGAAGTAAACAGTCTAAAAAAATCCAATTTGAACTGTGGTTAGATTGATTCTAATTATATTTTTAATCAACCAATGAGCTTTATTTGTAAAACCAAAGATTTGGTTTTAAAAAGCCATACATTTGATGTGCATCATAGCAAAAATTTGCATATTCAAATGAGTTGTTTTGTGAAAAAATCCTCAAATTTTATAAACTGATTGAAGCCATCAATCTCTTCTAAGCCCTTTTCTTAAAGTAAACAATCTAAAATATTCTTTTTGAAAAGTGGCTTCACTGATGCTTGTTACACTTTTAATGAACTAACAGGCTTTATTTGTAAAATTAAAAATTTGGTTTACAAATGCCACGAGGCCTGGGTAGAGTCATCAGAGAGGAGCCCTGTATTTCCTTTGTGCCTGAGAGTTAATAGGATTAAGGCTTGAAGAATTGAATAAAACCCTGAGCTGGTTAAGATGGATGTATCGCATTTCAGGGTCCCATTTCATAACCGGCATGCCCCACATTTCACAAAATAAAACACACTGCTGAGCTTATTTAAATGATTCTTCAGAAATACATTGATTTCGGAAACTTTAAAAGGGAACGCGTGTCCATTTCCTCTCTCAAGCCATATGGCTCTTTGTGTACTCAGCCTGCCTGGCTTCGGGCTGACTCCCGCTTTGTAGTCAGCAATTCCCTGCTATGGTCCAGTTCCATGGAAAAGAGAGGAGAGATTTTTGTGCTCAGAGAATTTCTGCATATGAATTAATAGTTTCTAACTTTCACAATGATGCCATTTGCACTGGCCCTAATATTCTGTAAAACGCAGCAAATCTAGGCTAAAATGCCAAAGACCTGTTATCTTCCTCCAAATCATGTAATAGAACCGGGGGTCTGGTGCTTTCTGCTATCAAGGTGGTTATTATCAAGTATAATTTGCGGTTGGAAATGTTTGGCATTCCTGTCTAGCAGTAGCCTGGATTGTTTAGAATAGATTTTTACATAGGAGTTCCAACATCTGTCCGTTTTAGGTCGGATTTCTGTGAGAACCTATGCATATAGTCTCTAAACATATGCAGCTGTCCCAGATTAAATAGGAATGGTTTCTTGCATTACAGTGACAACAAAGGGTCAAGTTTAAAATTAAAAATATAAAAATAAGGCTAAGAATGGTAAGGAAAAGGCATCACCACTCTATAAAATGCCAAGTAAGGTTACCAATTAAGAGTGGCCTTGAAGGCTATTTAAGTGCTATCCTAACAAAAGACTCATTAATTAGCAATGTATTAAAACACTAATATGCCTATGGACTAAAATGCTGCATTTCAATTTCATTATAGATCCCTTTCAGTTGTAATCCCTTTATTATAGAAGTCCAGTTCGTTTGAAGTGAAGAGTGCTTATTAAATGAAAGCTGTATATGAAACTGCAAAGAAACATAACATCAAATTTTGGAAAGGAAGTTAAAAAAGAATTAAAACAAGCTGTGATGATCTTAACAAAGACACACAAAACCTGTTACTAGGAAGAGTTGTTTGGCCAAATTTCCTGTTTTTTCCTAAGTACTGGTTTGTTTTAAATATGTCGTCAGCACACAGTTTATTACTGTTGGTTAACGTTTCTACATGTAAAATTCAGAACTGTTCCCCAGGACTTCTTATTTAAGGATATTCCAAACAATGTGGATTTTCTCTTTTTTCTCCAGGTTGTGGCCTTCACCATATTTAAGAGATGAAAAGCCATGGATTTAAATAGCTGAAAATTAGTATTAGATACTAGAATATTACTCAAGTGTGGGTTAATGAAGGAGTCATAAAATGAAGGTTGCATAAAATATCTCTTTAACCCTAAGCAATTTTAGTACAAGATTCCAGAAATCAACATGGACTATTACAAAGTATATCAAATCAAAGCCACACAAGTGCTGCTGATGGCTCTTTGTTTTGTTTTATTCATGCTTTTTAAAAAAAAAAATCTCTGCAAAGACATATCTGGTTCTAAAAGCAACCTATTATAAAATTAAAATAACTGAATCATACCATTGTGTGTGAAATGTAGGGAAATAAAAATTCCTCCCTTGGGAAAAAAGTACAAAACATTAACATTTTTCTAAGTATTTTATAAATTATGCTGCTTTATTAAACACATACCATTAGAAGTCTCTTCCATTACTGACAACACTTTTCTTAATGGTCTTTACATGTTTAAATAAATGGCTCCTGAAAATGTGCATTTATATTATATAAATAAAACTTTAATTAATATAAACATACCCAGATATAAACTTTTTAGAAATGTCAGCGTAAAACTTTCCAGTCTAAATAAATCCTCTTATGAATGGTCCAGCAAAGCGATTTTTAATGCATTTTTTCCCTCTAAAGAGCTCATAGAGATTTACAGGCACAATCCAAAAGAGAAACCAAAATAGCTTTGATGAAGACTGAATGTCTCATTCATGTAATAAGCAACTCTAAGTGACGTCCAATAGATGAAAATTTTTTAAACCAACTAAGGCCATGTGACTTTTTTCTTTATAGTACTTACTATTATCTCATAATTATCTCATTCATTTATTGGTTCTCCTGTTTATTATTTGTTTCCCCCTCTTGAATTGTAATCTTTCTGAGAGTAAAGACCATATATGTCTTGTTCTCTGTTCTATCTCTAATACTTAGCATAGCACTAGGCACATGGTAGATGTAAAAAGTGGCCCACTGAAGAATTCATGGTCTGATGAGAAAGCTAAAATGACTCAGTTACTTCGATGTACCTCACTTCACCCGAATTGTCCCATGTGACACAGCATCTAGCTATTTTCTCCCTTCCTCCTTAGCACCCCCAAGTTTCCACTGAATACATGGCCTTTGAGAATAAAGAACTCATTTTCTAGCCTTCCTTGCAGCTAAGTGTCACAGGGTTGGACTAATTAGATGAAAGCAAAAGTATTCTGCAGAAGATTTGGTAAAGCTCCTTAAAGACAACTGGTGCAAGCCCTTTGCCCTTTCTTCTTCCTCTCTTCTTCCATTTTCCTGCCTGGAATGTGCATATGAGTGCTAGAGTTCCAATAGCCGTTGTGGACTATGAGCTGACCTTGAGAATGAAAATCGTAAGGCAGGATGGTAGAGCAGCAGTAGAGAAAAGGCCTGGGGCTCCTGCCACTGCAGAGTCCCATTCTGCCCTGGCCTCTCTACCTC